GTGTCATTCAAATTAATTTTTGGTGGGTAAACAAAACTGGTTGCTAATATTGTATTAAAAGCGTCAATAAGTCCAGCGCCTTGATGAAGTACCGAAGCTAATAATCCATCACGATTTTCAAGAGGGACGGCATAATTCATGAATGCGGTTTTTAATTGTTCGGGAGACTTTGCTTTTCCGAACATTTCAAAATATAATGCTGCTACGCCTGTCATATACGGTGCAGCTAGACTTGTACCACTTTTTATCGTATAAGAACCTATATTAACCGGAAAAGCCGAAAGAATTGATCCTCCAGGTGCGCAAACCTCGGGCTATTAAAAAAAACGTTCATAATTGGTAAGTTCATTACATTCACTGATTTAAAAATTCATCTCAGTTGATAATTCCATTACCTTGATATCAAACTCTTGAGATAAACCCCAACTAGAAAATACAGAAGGAGTTACAGCAAATGGATGGTATTCCATGTATCCGTAATTATTAGAAAAATCTAATTCTAAATTTGGGTTTCTTTCAAGATATTCAATTAAGATATCGGTTTGTTTTGAAGTAATCTGCGCTCCGTAGTTCGTTGGTAAATATGGTATTTGTCGGTATTGAAGTACAACAGTAAGCTTACTAACGGATACTAATACGGCGAGTGGCTTTATTTTAGCAAGCTACAAAAATGAATTTTTTTTTTAAAATCATGCATTTATAATTACATATTCAAAGGAAAATTTTTTGTTTATAAAAAAAACTTACAATAACTGTTGATACTGGGCATTTCAATACAGTTCTAATGTCAACTATAATTACTGTATTATCAAATCCTTTATAATCATTCAAACATTTATCCATTGGAAACAACTTAACTTTAGCACTTTTAAAAGGAAACGCTAATGCATCATTCGTAGCATAATCTATTATAAGATATATCATTTTTTAATTCAGCTTTAAAGAAATAACAAAAATAAAATAAAATAAAAATTTAAAACATATATACTTACTAATAACAAAATTTGGATTCTTCGGATCAAATGCTTTAAAATTCAAGACTTTATTTGTCTCGAATGAACCAACACCAATAGAACTTTGAGCCGTCGCTGGCAAACTACTAGTGAATATACCATCTGAACCGCTATTCCCGTTTGCTACTATGAAGATCATTCCTTTATATTTAGTCAGTTCGTTGACCAAAGTTGCAAGCATGTTACTATTGTTACCATCAATTCCCTGCACAAATTGTAAAAAAAAAAATATTAAGTTGACGTGACGTTTTTTTAAAAGTAGTTAAAATAATTATTTACTCACCAAAGACATATTTATGA